GACACTTTTTTTTCCCCTTTCTTTCTTTTCCCCGCAAATCATAGCTAGCAATTCAGTATTTACTCAATCTGCATTTTTGAACTTATCAATCTCAAACCTTGCAATATATATAAGGATTAGCAATATGGTTTGTAACACACATTATGTGTTCGTGTTTAGATATGTTGGAGTTGCCATGTCAAGTATCATAGATATTGTGGTAATTGATCATCCTATTATCTTAAATGTTACAAGTTTTACTTGTTCTCAATTATGTATCATATCCTACCTCTTCACTATGTCCCGTCATGGATGATTTTCTTTCCATTTCCTTTGTATGAAAGTATGTAGTCTGTTCAATATGTTATGTTTTATTAATTGATTTTGCGCACTAGATAAATCCTTAAACCGCTTTACGATTTAAATATTTCTCATCTCATTTTCACTGAACAATGCCCAAGTATAGTTGGTGTGATATCTTATTTTAAAGTTGTAACACTAATTCTTTTCATTGTGATTTATTTTAGTTTTATGATTATATCCTTGTTTTTTTATTTTTGATTTTTTTTTTTTTTTTTCCGCTTATCTTGCAGGTTGAGGAGAACATCTGCAAGTTCGTGAAGAAGGGTATGACACCTTCTCAAATTGGTGTTATTCTTCGTGATTCTCATGGGATTGCTCAAGTGTGGAGTGTCACTGGAAGCAAGATATTACGGATACTCAAGGCCCACAGTACACATTCCATTATATGTTGTTTATGTGATTATTTAATCTTGAATTGAATGTATATGGTGAAACTATTTTTTGAGTTTCTTATAACTGGCTAGGGCTTGGTCTGAAATACCTGAGGATCTATACCATCTAATTAAGAAAGCAGTGCAATTCGGGAACATCTGGAGAGGAACAGAAAGGATAAGGATTCCCAGTTTAGGTTGATCCTTGTTGAGAGCAGGATTCACCGACTTGCTCGATGCTACAAGAAGACAAAAAAGCTTCCGCCTCTTTGGAAATAGTATGTTTTCAGACATTTAATTTCTATCTTTAGCTTTGAAATACTTCTTTTCTGTTACTATTGCTTTGTTGCATTTTAGTGAATCATTAAATCTTAAGTATGCTGGGGTAATGACTAATGAGAAATGAAAACAAGCATTCTATAGAATGAGTAACCACATCTGCATATTAGAATTGCCAACGTAAGATTCACCTTGTTGGTTGATGATATGTTTCATAATGATGTTGACATTACTGGTTAAATAGTCTGTTATTTTTCTTACACCAACAAGTCTGTCATGGTTTTTGTTGCATTAAGACAAATTTGGTCATGTTTAAGAAGCATTGAGTTATAATGATTAAGTTGGGTTTTAGGAAGGCACATGCTAATTAGGGCTTTCAAGATTTGATCATGATGTCGTCCTAGATTGATCTTTCCAGTTGCAGTTTACGAGATTTGGTTGTTCTGTGTATGTTGTAAATTACGTTCAGACTCAGAATTTGAGTTTGTTGTTTCATTAAAACTTGGATCGTATTTAAAATTACAATATTTGTTGTGAGAGTAAACATTCGGACTAATGCTGATTATGTGGGTAAAACCAAGGTGACTACTTCCCGTTCTGAGTTTTATGGAGTCAGGAAATATGACAAAACTTATTTTCTTCTCCTAGTAGTGGGTGTGGGATTTGATCATAATGTATGAGGTTTGTACCATGCCTTTTGCCAACTTCCTTTTGGAAAGCCCTCCTAATACATGAGAAGAAGGAATTGAGGAAAATCTATATCCTTCTGTTTCTTCAATAAATATTAGGATATACTGAAGATCCTCCTAGTAGTGGATGTGGGATTTGACCATAATGTTGTAAGTGTTAGTACCATGCCTTTCTCTCAAGGACGTGGGGATCTGCTGATCTTTTCCTTGACATTCTATCTAATTCAATATTTCTGTACCCATAATGGCATGATTATGTCTTGGTTTAAAGACCTTTGGTACGATTGGCATGGCATGAAAACATTTTGAACATTCCTTCCACCTTTTGGATTGGCCAACATACGGTCTTCTCTTACTAGACTAACTTTAAAATTATTTAATTCACAACATGATACAGGTAATCTAGCTCCACCAAGACAACATGTAGAGGTGGTTTAAGTTCTACACTATCAGCACCTTTGTAGAATCGTAGTGATAGAAAATGTTTCTGAAGTGAAATATCTTAATTAAATCTTTTTTGATTCCTGCTCCAATGAACTGGAGCTCTAGTGTCTTTCTTTTGTCTGGGGAAAGCGGTGGCGAATCCACTTCTTCTCCTTGACTATATAGGTTTTAGGATAGGGAGTGTCGAACTAGGTATATGTAATTTACGGGAAGCCGCCTCATGGGAAACTAGGCCCCAGTTACACCGCTGAAAGAGTCATCACTTAATAATATTTCACTTAGGCTTTCGCTATGTTATATATAATTCATAGAACCACCAGGCTTGTATGGAGAGTGCAAGTAATAACACAAGGATTTTGATAGGATATAATTTTTCCAGAAGATATGGTAAAATTGAGAATAGAGGGGGTTAAAAAATGATTTGGCTAGTAGGTGGTATTTAGACAGGCAGGTGTATGTTAATATTATTCATGAATGTCTTCAAAATGCTTTAACGGCAACTCTGTGTCTTTTGCAAGTGGTAAAGGAGCACTGATTTCTATTGTCAAACTCAACAGGTTGGATTAGCAGAGTTTGGCAACTTGTCTTTTGCATGACGCCTTGACTCCTTATTTGCTTCTCGCCCATCTTAATTTTTTTAATTCATTTGGAAAGTCAGCAAGGCAACGATGAGTATATAGATTTCCGTGATATTGCTACATCAAGTATCTCATGTAAAAACTTGTGAATCAAAGATATCAAATAGTGAGTGGTTGCATAATCATAAGCATGAGATTTTCATGTGACCTCCTATTCTTGCATGTTGTTTCTAAAAGTTCCAATTGTTGTCTCAATTAATTTTAAACAGACACATTTTCGAAGCAAAACAATTAATTTTAAAAGTATTGTTTGTGCCAAAGAGAAATTTTTGTCCTTTGCTTCTCTTTAGTTTCAGTATTAATTATTAATTTTTCTCTGCGTGCAGTGAATCTACCACTCCCAGCACTCTTGCGGTCTAAAGAAGATGCCATTGGTAACATCTACGGAACGTTTTCATGGTTGAGCAGATTTGGAGCTTCTATCTAAATCTTTAGATAGCAAAACTTCAAGATGCAGGAGGAACTCTAAAAACAATGGTGATGAGCTTGTCACAATAATTTTGGGAGTTGATTATAATGATCAATGATGACGGTTATTGTGATGCTAAAATTATTGGATGGAATTTTTTTCATGTTTTTCAGCTTGTACGGTGGCGAATCACTGCAGGGTGTAATGAGATATATTAAGGGTTAACCGTACAGGACTAACTTGTCTAGAATGGGAGGTGATCAATCTTATCTTGGGAATTTGAAGTGTGTGTAGTCAATGTAAAATGAATGTGCAGATTTTGATTTATTGATTGCATAATGTATTATTGGAGATTGGGAAATGCATATTAGCAATTCAATTTTTTTATAAATTGGGAATTACATACTCACAAGAATAACGAGGCTGACCGCGAAAAATTACAGTACTTTCGTTTTAATATACTTGATATTGTATATAAACTATTTGTAACACTTATCTTGTCGACCTTTGTTTGAACATTGGCCCACCCATAAGAAAATTAATAATAATGATATAGGATCAAAATCATCTATAATTGGTATATAAAAGGGGATTTGCGAAGAGTTAGAAGTATGTAATATTAGACTTTTTTTTTTATTTTTATTTTTTATTTTTGCATGCAAAAGAGTATTTTTTCCTTCATATCGAGAAATAAACATTGATACATAGTAGGACGAATTAAAATAAAAAAATAATTGGATTTATTAACAAGTGAATCGTTAATATCTTATTATCTATCAGTCATCAAATCAAAAAGCAGAAACACATAGGTCCTGCCCTATCAGGACTCATAGTTGACTTGGCCCAACCAGAAAACGACAGGTGTCTTATGACCAAGTATATCATGGTATACCATTTGAAATTCTAACCCAACATCATCTCCCAAAACTCGACGCTTTCTCTCTCTAACCCCAATTTCACTTTACTCTACCATTTCCTTCTTTCTCTCTCTCCACTCACCGCCGCAACCTCCACCCACAACCACCATTTTTTTTCTTTGTGAATTTTTTTGTTGGAGGTGAATGTTTTGTAGCCTCCAACATTAAATTAGTGAACTGGGTGTTTGAGATCGCATCCCAAAAATGGCACCGTCGTCCGATTGGTGGACCACTGAGCCACACCGAGGAACTTTCCATCTAGCAAGTGGTCGTCGAGTTCTAACGCCTCGCCGACGAAACTTCCTCCTCCACGGCCACGAGTGGTCGCCACCGCCACAAATCCAATCGGAGAGTGGTATTTACAGAGTCAATTAACAATGGTCCAAAATTGCGGGTGATGTTACGTAATTTCACGGAGTTGGGAGCTGGGAGCCAAAATTGGTGATTTGATTGTTGTGGGCGTCGGCTTGCACCGGAGAATTGGTATCTAGCAGCCGTTGAAGATGGGTTTAAGGTTGCATTTGGTCAGCGAAGCAGGCAAATTTGGTATTGTTGCAAAAGCAGAAAGATAGGAGTAAATTCAATGGGCTCAAGCAATCGGAAGAAGAAGAAGAAGAAGAAGAAGAAGAAGAAGAAGAAAAAAGGATTCTGAGTTCGCAATACAAAGAGAAGGCACTGAATTAGGAGGAAATCATGAGATTTTTTCTCTCTAACAGGCCAAGTAAGACAAAGACCCATCTTTTTTTAGGACAATAGACCTGGAAAAGCAATACCTAACCTCTCATTCAAAGGGCTAAATATCCAGACAGAAGATTACAAGGTCCAAGAACATCCACGTTGTCCATTAATGACTGAACAATGTGGGAAGTGAAGAATCTAGTGAAAAAACACAAAATGCATACATACATCTATTAAATCAAAAAATAGCTTTGTTAAACTAATAACTTCTTTCACCTACCAAGAGGGTGAAGATTTCAAGTGCCGAAGCAGAGTATCAATGCAAAAACCCAATTACGTTCTTGTAAATCGTAATGCCTTCTTCTCTAAAATAATGACTAAAAACACACACACACATAAATAAAGAGTACTGTTGAATAAGTTAAAAAGGTTCTAAAGGAGTCTACAATTACATTCACAGCTCTATGATTACCTGCCCATGCTCATCCTTTAGATCAAAGCTCATCCTAACCTTGCCCTTCTCCTCTCCGTTAAACCGAACCCAAACTCTGTCCGTTAATGCAGCAAAATCCAGAAGTGCAGTTATAGTTCCGGGGATGACTATTATTGGGTGACCAATCGGACTATGATCCATGTCTGAAACTACAACTTTATCATCCTCCTCAATGTGAGCCAAATGTTGAATTACATAATCATCATTCTGCCAAAAAAAAAAAAGAAAAGAAAACTCAAAACTAAATTCATTAAATAAATAAAAAAACTTACCAATCAAATATTACTCACCACTGCAAATGTATACATTGTTGCAGTCTTCATTGGATTGTCCTGTTTCCGGGCTCTTATAACTGTATTGCTGATAAACATTATCACTGCCAACATATTTCAACTCTATTAATACAAGTTAATTTAATCAAAAAAAGCAAAACAAAACAAAAACAATAAAAAAAAACCCCTTTCAGACCATACCTCCATCTCCCCTGAATGGGTTCAGCAAAGGTGCTTTAATACCAACTGCTCTAGCATACACATTTGGAACTTGTTCAAAGGGAACTGTTTTAGTTACATGATTTTGCGCCCAAAGTGTTTCTGCAAATATGTAAAGCTATAATTTTAAGAAAATTCAAGATAAAAAAAACTGTAATCATCAAACAAAAGAACACATGAAACAATTAACTTCAGGGACTCTCATTCAAGAACTCTGAAAATATTGAAGAACATATTAAAAGAGTACGTCTTGATAGCAATACAAATCTAAAGATTCCATGAAATCAAATTAATTCATAAAACAAATTTTTTTAAAAAAAAACAATTAATGCAAGATCATATACCTTTATTTTTCACGACAGATATCGTCCTCTGCTTTAGAAAAACCTCTGCGTCTTCTTGTTTTTCAAGAACCTTCAACAGCTGTTGAAGATTTGCAGAAGCTTCACCCTCAAAGTAAAAATCGTAACTTTCTAAACCCTGGGCATTGAATTCTGCGTACCAGGTCCTTCCTTTATCATCCACAATGCCTACTGAAACTCCATCCCTCCAGCAACGAAAGACTCCATTGACATGAAAACTGCTCAATGCTTTCAAGATAACTATGGCTTTCGAATTTCTAAAACCTATCTTGCAAAGTGTGAACGACACCGTCATCTTCTCTGTAGTTCTTGACATCTTTCTTGGAGAGAATGAGATTGCCGTGACCGTTGCATTTAAAAAAATCACCTGGTTATGTTGTTATCACCTAGAGCTGCTTATATTTAAACGAACCTGGGTATGTTGGCCCCAGGCCTTGTGGGTTGTGTTAGTCAGACGGACTCAGGACGAAGTTAGCCCACTTTAAGGGGGTTAGTGGTTAGAGCCTAGGGGTCTCAATTCATGCAGTGAGTTGTAAGGTATTCTACTAATGAGCTCCACCCGTTTAATAAATGTGTCAAGGATCTTTAATATTAACCGGGATTTATTTATTAAACACGTTATTAATGACTTACTTAATAAAGTAAAATATTATATTATTTAAATTATTAATAATACTCAATCAAACATCAAATATTAGAAAAATATAGATAGTTATTTTGCTACTTAAATAAAAATTTGTTATTAAATAATCTCTAATTTATAAAATAATAAATTATAAGATACAAATTTAGATGGTTATTTTGGAATTTAAATAGTTAAATGGGTTGCACGGGTTAAACCCTTTAACCCAAATACAATACGATTAACTAAAGGAGTTAATCGTGCCGACCTGTTTACGACCCAAACTCGTTTAAGGTCAACCAAAATTCGTATCGTGTTGGTGGATTATGTCATACTTTGACACCCCTAGTTAAAAGGGAGGGGTAGGATGCAAGCCTCGAGCACAAGCTCTCGAACACAGGGAACAACCCAACCATTCGAACAACATAACACTTAACGAATTTTCTATAATTCAATTTTCATATTATTGAAAACGAAAATTTAAATTATTCAAAATCAATAATTTAGAAATTATAACAGTTTATGTTATCAATGACTGAAGAATAGTTTCAAAATAAATATATAAATAGACAAGCAAAAAAATTGAAATATTTTAAAATTTAAAAAAAAAAAAGTATTTCAGGGAAATATTTTAAATTTCATGTGACAGTTTTTTACATCTGCTTACTTAGAATTAAATAATAATAATAATAATAATAATAATAATAAGGAGGAGGAGGAAGAAGAAGAAGAAGCCAATTTTTTTATTTATAAAAAACCAATTTTGGAAGGACTTGTTTAATAGGTTTCAAAACAATTCAGACATCATTTTAAATTAAATTTATAGCTATTCTCTCTCACACACAAACACCCCAACCCCTCCCTCCCTCTCCTTCTCTGTGTGTGTGTGTGTCTCTTTCTGATTGTGTATTCATTATTTTAAATTAAATCTAATAATGCAATTGTCCCTATTAATTTTTTAGCTCTATATGCGCACGACTGAAAATTAATTTGTTGAAACATTGTGGTGTATTCATCATTGTAATTTTTTTTCTATAACTTTAGTGGATTGAAATTTATTTATTTATCACAAAAAAATATAATGATGAAATTATCCCAAGATAAAAACAAATATTTAAAAATTTCCTTTAAATTAGTTACCGGGTCTTAATGGGTTGACTTGAATCATTTTGACCCAACTCATATTCGACCCCACTACAATAGGTTGAATGTGAATCACAATTCATACTTGACCGCTCATATTTAATTTGGTCCAAATTTGACTCAACTCGCTCATTTGACACCCATAGGTAATTGTTAAAACCCGAACGATGGTCAGATTGACAGCCTAAACTGGTGCACACAATACAAGTTTGTGTCAAACCGATGCAATTTTTTTCAAATGAAATTTAAGAAGCACGAATATTTTTACGACGTAGCAATCAAACATTCAAAGTATTAGCCAATTCTGCCTTTTGTCTGTACCAAACTGGTCCACGCCTAACAAACAGTTCTTGTGATTTTAAGCAGATTTGGGTTGTTGCAGGACAGACGCCTTTTCGGTTTATTGCACTGGACTACTAAATATTTAATTAATTAGTAGTACATGTTTTGGAATTGTGGCCATTTCTATCACCAAGCCAAACATCACCTATATACTTTTGTTATTATACGAAATACTTTAATATTTAATTAGCTTGAATAACAATAACAAAATTGGAAGTAAAGAAATAAAAAATAAAAAAGAAAAAAAAAAGAAAGAAGAAGTTATTTTAAAAATAAAAAATAAAAAATTAAGTTGTATAAAGAGTAGTTATGATATTATAAAATAAGTGATTATGCATTAATTAGTTCAAGAACCTGTTTGTCATTTTCTTTAAAATAAAAAGGTAAGTAGAATGCAAATTTGAATATAAAATATAATATATACACATTTATTTTATATGCAAGAATAATACTATATATATATATATATATATATATATATATATATATATATATATTTTAAATTCTCACGTAATATACATGATATGAATTTCATTTACCTCATGATTAAATTTAGTTTTATTTATTAATTTTGTCAAGAGAATTAGTTCAGGACTTAAATTTCGTAAATAAATTATATATTATAATGTTCCATGTTCTTAAAAAATTAAAATAATGCAATAAAAATTCATTTCAAAATTGGGACAATCAGCATATGGTATGAGTGTTCATTTATTAATGATTAAATTTATTATTATTCATTAATTGATTACAAATATAATTGGATCCCAACTTAAAATTATAAATATTTTATTACTTGTATTAAATGGTCTTAAAAATTATATTAAAATATAAAATAAATAAAAAAAAATTATTGGATTATGTTGTAAAAATATGCGTGTAGATGCAAAAATTCACTCAACTTTGACAAGACAACGAATTCTCTACAATTACTACACCCAAAATAATAATATAAAACAAACAGTGAACTAGAGAAATTATATAGAGATGAGGGGGTATTTGGATGATATGACCGAATCTAGGATTACCTAGATTGCTTACGTATCCCGCATGGAGTGCGGGAATCAGGTCGGAACGTATTCTGGTGATGAGAATTGGATCTCTAATTTTGGGGCTTTACCCTTTTTTCTGTGTCCCCCTTATTGAGGGTCCTGAGCCCTTTTTATATATAGGAAAAATCATAATCGATTCCTTTTAGGACTTGCATTGCTTGTCTCTTAAGAATCTGAATTACATCATACTTTCCTTATAACAAGGATTTACATTATTTAATTTCCATAGATTATAATTCTACTTCTGATAGAACTGTTACTAAAAATGGATTTAGTGACATATTCGTAATTGGGTTTGGGGTTTTATCATCTCGGGTCTTCTTGATGAGTTCAGCCTATTATGCTTAGTTAACCTGGCTCAAGCTTCTTGCAGAGGCCCAATTTGAAGGTTGAATAGTCTCAGTATTTGTGGTGGTCCCCTTATATGCTGATGTGTCTTGTCTTAATTGAAAGGGGAGATTTTTGCCCCCACACTTTGCCCTCAATTCCCTTTTGTTTGACGTGATAGCCATAACTAGAGGGAATTAATCTTAGCTAATGATTTGTAATGGTAATTGTAGTAAATCAAAATGTCCGAGGCTTGAGGCTCCTTGGCTATGCGCCTGAGGAATTTTTTGATGTCTTCGGACTCTTGAGATTCTAGGTATTTGATTGATGCCTTTGGGCCTTTGGGGTCCGAAACATGCACTTTACTGATTCCTTTGAAGTTTTGTGGTCCAAATCATGCTTTTCCTTGACAGTGATATATGCCTTGGAGTAGTTTAATATCTTCGGAATATTGAGGTCCGAAGCACGTAATTCCTCGGTCTCTGCATGTGCCTTAAGGAATTTACTAATGTGGGAGACTTGGGATCCGAAGTTTATAGTTCCTCGGCTTCTGCATTCGCCTTAGAGGAATTTTATTGATGCCTCCGGACTATTGAGGTTCGAGGCTTGTATTCGGACTCTTAGGGCCCGAAGCTTGTTGTTCTTAGGCTGTACGCCTTAAAGGAATTTATTGATACTTTCGAACTCTTAATATCTGAGGCTTGTGATATCCTTAACTTCATGCCTAAGAGGAGAAGATTTCAAAAGTGAGAGATGGTCTTCAGAATCGTAGGTCTGAAGATTTCAAGAGTGAATAATGATGGTGATCATTTTTAATAATCATCCTAGAGATCAACATAGTGTTTTTCTTGAGCAATTAGCTTCAACTTTCCTGATTAGCATTCCGAGGTAATTTATTTTTATCCTTGTCACTGCTCTGTGCTTCAGAGGATATGAAAATTTTAACCGTCGACTTCTTTGAGTTCGAGGTAATTTTCATTTCATTTTGTTCCGCGGTACTTTTGTGTCTTAAAGAAATTTTGAGGTACTCGGACTCTTGAGATCTAAAGGCGAATGTTTATTCCTCGACAGCTCTTTGTGCCTTAGAGGAAACTTGAGGTCCTTGGACTTTTTGAGTTCTAAAAACAAATTTTATTCCTCGGCAGCTCTTTGTGCCTTAGAGGAATTTAGTGATACCTTCAGATTCTTGAGATCCGAGGTATCTATTTGACTGGTATCCTCAAACTCATGAGGTCTAGAGTGTGTGTCTCCTCGGCCTCTATATGTGCCTTAGAGGACTCTTATTGATGCCTTTGAATTCTTAACTTTTGGAATATGTGCTGCATTCATACTATCATGATTCGAGGAATTTGAAAAGGATAGGCTCAAGAAAGAGAGTCCCTTGATATGTAGGTTTCTGATTGAGCGATTTCACTTGAAGACCTATTTATCAAGGGGCCCTTTCTTGGCGATCGACAATTGTGGGATTGCACTATATATTGAACTCACGTTTTTCATTTATTTACGATGTGGGACAAAACTTTTAACGGGTTGTACACTATTAGGCCAAGTATGTGGGCCTGTGAGTGTAACGGTCATAAAGAATATTTGCCCCCATTTAGGTTCAAACCTATTGACTTAACTTCAGACTTTTTGCATTCGAGGTGGTAAGTTCTTTGGCCATGAGTCTGAGAGGAACTGTATTATACCGGACTCTTGAGATCCGAGGGCATGTAGTTCCTCGACCATGAGCCCGGGAGGAACTGTATTGTACCGGACTTTTGAGGTCTGAGGCATGTAGTTCCTCGGCCAAAAGGGATTGGGGTTATGAGTCCCTTACTAGCTCTATCCCACCAACTGAGAAACTTTTGAACTAATTTCTGTTGATAAGTGAAATGAATATATCTTAATGGACAATAGGAGAAATGCAATGGTGATACACCGTAGCAGATTTTTTTTTTTTTTTTTTTTTTTAAATGTAAAAAGGAGGAAAAATAATCCTTTCTTCAATTCATGATAAAGCTTGAGCCGGAGAGAGAAAGGAAAACGAAAGTACGAAAACAAGGAAAGAGATAAAAATGAAAAATCCAATGAAACTTACTGAAGCTTTTAAAAAGAAAATCCCTAGAATAGAACTCTGTTAAGGGAGTTATGACAGATGCAATAAAATATGTGGAAGACAGAATATAAAGAATAAGGGAGTTACAGAACCAACCTCCCGAACATCATCAACAGTGTGAGATCTTATTGGAATATTTGCGAAGGTTTTCATGTTCAGCTTCAATAGATCTTGAACCTTGACATACCCATCACTCCTCATATTCAAGTTCAACTCAGAAGCCATGTGCCGCAATATACGTGTCCTGTAAATATTATATACAGTATACACAAAGACAAAAATTGCTCAATTCATATGACTTGCACAATTAAATATTTTTATGCACCTTTTGGTTGCTGAAGGAAAGTATGGAAAGAAAGAATCAAAATTTTGAACTAATTTTTTTTTCAAAATAAAGAACTTGGATTAAAATTTTGATTATTTTCTTTTGTTGCTTGAAAAACTTGTGTTACAAAAATTGGACACATAACAACTACATTCGCAAAGTCAAGCCTAATACAACTAAAAAAACAACACAACTCTTCTTAATTGAGGTGGATTTTCTAATTTTTTGTAAGCCAGTGAAACCAAAATTGAAAAATACGGAGCATATAATTAATCAAAAATTAAAACAAAAGTCAAAAGTAAGAGTTATGTTTAAATCATCATATAAAATGGGCATCAAAAATTTTCATCATTACCTAATTCAAAAACAATCAGATCCAAGGCAACAAATCAATTCAACCTCCCACTTTCAGAAATTTTTTGTTTTGGTGTAATCTGCTTCTTCAGCTCTAATCATCATTCAACCTCAAAGGCCAACTTGTTTAATCACATGGACTTCAAAAAATAGAAATTTTATTTACTTACTTATTTCTACGAGTAAAAAAACCCAATACAAAATCCCAAATAAATTGAAACGAATATAAACAGATAATATCACACAAATAATTAGAAGAAAAAATCAAAGAAAATATACTCTACATACATGAGTCTCCCTAAAGCGTCAATTTTATCTTTAACACCGCCGCCGCCGCCGCCGCTGCCGCTGCCGCCACGGCCTCTCGACCTCTCACGGCTATCTTTCATCTCTAAACCTCTTCCTCTACCACCACTGCCATAAATACAAAAACAGTGCAGCAAATCACATCAGAAAACAAAAAAGCCCTTTAATTCCACTCATGCGTTGAGCTTTCTTTTCAATTTTCAATGTTTACTAGGCTGCCAAACATAGAGAAAAGAAAGGAAAACATTTTCTGCAAAACAGAGAGAAAAGAAAGGAACACCTTACCTTCGACCAGAATGAGCGAAAGCAGAGGAGGATGAGCTCTTGAGGCTGTCCATTAAAACTAGGGCACGAAAATTGGTGCGAAGAGAGGAAGACGAAGTAGCAATGGAGACAGGAAGAAGAGACACAAACCACCGCCTGCTACAGAAGCCCACATCGATGTGTCGATCCGTTTGGTAACTGGCGTTATGACGATGCTGATGTAGCCCGTGTGTGGTATTACGTTTTTTTAGTGAAGAAGGAAGGCTAGAATACATAATACAAAGACACACAGCCCATATCGAATAAACAAGCCCAGCCCAATGACTAAAATTACCGCATAAACAAATTCGGAGTTCTTTTTTGTGTGGCCAACTAAGACAAGCAATAAGAAAGAAATATCCTCTTGAATTATTGTAATAGAGTCTTGATTGACATAAACTATCGTCCCTTTACAAACATTTGATGATAATACATTATGCAGCCAATAAATCAAAATCTGCAATTTGAATCATTGATTGTACATTGACCATACACACTTCAAATTCCAAAGATAGATATATCAGAAGCAAAGAGGCCAGTCTCCCATTCTAAATCATTTAAGGTCCTGTATAACCCTTATAACTCATCACAACAAGCACATTGCGTGATTCACCACCATACAAGCTGAAAAACATGAAAAAATTCCATTCATTAACTATAGAGTTCCTCCTGCATCTTGAAGTTTGCTTGTACTGAATATACTAACAGGGAGAGAGAGCAATAATAATCTTCAATTTTTTGGAGTGTCTTACAATTTATCAAATCATTGCCATCAAATTCAAAATTATAATTCAAAACACCAAATATTTCCTCCTCTTCCTTAAACAACAAAACTTTCGTCTTCATGATAGCATCATAGTTCAGTAAACATAGAGCCGAAGAGAGAAACTACAAATCTGCTCAACCATGAGAACGCTCAGTAGATGTTTACCACTCGTATATCTTCTTTAGGCCACAAGAGTGCTAGCTGTGGTAGATTCACTGCAAACAGAGAAATTTAAATAATATTGAAACTAAAGAGAACCAAACAATACGTTTAAAATTAATTGAGAACAACAATTGGAACTATTAGAAACAGCTTGTAAGAATAGGTGGTCACATGAAAATCTCATGCTTATAACTATGCAACCACTCACTATTTGATATCTTTGATTCATAAGTTTTTAAATGAGATACTTGATGTATAGCGACATCACAGAAATCTATATACTCATCATTGCCTTGCTGACTTTCCAAATGAATTGAAGAAATTAAGATGTGCAAGAAGTAAATAAAGAGTCAAGACACCATGCAAAGACAAGTAGCCATTCTCTGCTAATCCAACTTGGCAATAGAAATTAATGCTCCTTCATCACATGCAAAAGACAAGTTGCCATTAAAGCATTGAAGATATTCATGAATAATATTAACAGACACATGCCTGTCTAAATACCACCTACTAGCCAAGTCATTTTTTAACCCCCTATATTCTCAATTTTACTATATCTTCTGGAAAATTTATATCCTATCAAAATCCTTATGGTACTTAACACTTTCCATACAAGCCTGGTGGTTCTATGAATTATACAACATAGGGAAAACCTAAGTGAAATATTATTATGTAAATAGTCAAGCGGAAGAAGTGGTTTCGCCATCGCTCTCCCCAGACAAAAGAAAGACACTAGCGCTCCAGTTCACTGGGCAGGAATCAAAGATTTAGTTAAGATATTTCCTTTCAGAAACTTAGTATTAAAGGTGACTTATTTTGCTTGGTTAAAAAGACGCCTCCACATTTTCTATCACTACAATTCTACAAAACCTTTAGTTCAGTAAGAGAATAATGTATGTTGGCCAATCCAAAAGGTGGCTGAATGTTCAAAATGTTTTCATGCCATGCCAATCATACCAAAGGTCTTTCAACCAAGAGGAACTTTAGGAAACATAATCCCCATTATGGATACAGAAATATTGAATTAGACAGAAAGTCAAGGAAAAGATCAGCAGATCCCCATGTCCTTAAGAGAAAATGCATGGTACTAACACTCACAACATTATGGTCAAATTCCTCACCCGCTACTAGGAGAAGAAAATAAGTTTAAATATATTTCCTGACACCATAAAACTAAGAACAAGAAGTTGACTACCTCTTTAGTGGAACCATGGAACAATAACCTTGGTTTTACCCACAGAATCAGTATTAATGATTCACTAAAACACAATAAAACAACAGTAACAGAACAGAAGTTTTTCAAAGCTAAAAATACAAATCAAATGGCTGAAAACATACTATTTCCAAACAGGCAAAAGCTTTTTTGTCTTTTTGTAGTATCGAGCAAGTCGGTGAATCCTGCTCTCAACAAGGATCAACCTAAACTTGGAATCCTTATCCTTTCTGTTCCTCTCCAGATGCTTCCGAATTGCAACAGCTTTCTTAATTAGATGGTATAGATCCTCAGGTATTTCAGGACCAAGCCCTAGCCAGTTATAAGAAACCCCAAAAATAGTTTCACCATATGCATTCAATTCATCATAGACGAATCACATAAACAACTTATGATGGAACGTGTACCATGGGCCTTGAGTATCAGCAATATCTTGCTTCCAGTGACGCTCCCCACCTGAGCAATCCCATGAGAATCACGAAGAATAACACCAATTTGAGAAGGTGTCATACCTTTCTTCGCGAACTTGCAGATGTTCTCCTCAACCTACAATATAAACGGAAAAAAATTTGAAAAAGAAGGATATAATCATAAAACTAAAATAAAACACAATGAAAAGAATTAGTGTTACAACTTTAAAATAAGATATCACACCAATTGTACTTGGGCATTGTTCAGTGAAAATGAGATAAGAAATAATTTAACTCATAAAGGGGCTTACGGATTTATCTAGTGAGAAAAATCATTTAATAAAACATAACATATTCAACAGACTACATACTTTCATACAAAGGAAATGGAAAGAAAATCATCCATAACACTGGGATATAATGAAAGGTAGGATATGATACATAATTGAGGACAAGCAAAAATTGTACCATTTAAGATAACAGGATAGTCAATTACCACAATATCTATGATGCTTGATATGGCAACCCCAAAATATCTAAACACGAACACATAATGTATTTTATATACCATATCTCTCATGCGCGCGCACGCACACACACACACACACACACACACATATATGTATGTATGTATGTACATTTCAAAGTTTGGGATTTATAAATCAAAAAAGCATATCGAGTAAATACTGAATTGCTAGCTACGATTTGCGGGGGAAAAAAAAAAAAAAGTGACATAACACAGTGTAGTCATGCACATCCTAAGTCAACAGTGGACTCTTTTAAACATGTAAAAAGATGTGAGACACAGATGCCAGAAGTTCCAGTATGCCAAGTGTGTGTGTGCGTGTGTGTGTGTGTGTATATATATATATATATCTTGATAGGTAAGCATTACATGCACATTGCACACAGTCACACATGCTACACTGCTTCATGTGGGACTCGAACCACTAACCTCCTCTTTGAGAAGGAGAGCTCATACCACCTGGGCTAGTGGCCGGGTGGTCCAAGTATTAATAAGAAGAACTCTCTTCCACAACATATGATCAAACAAAATGAGAAGTTTCAACAAAATGCCAATTGTTAATAAGAAACAAACGACCTGCCCAAGCAAAATGAACAAAATTATGGTTTCATTCATAGAAGAAGATAATTATAGTGGTATCTAATTGCCACAAAACCAAGCAAAAGAAAAGGAAAATAGATTGACGTCAAATATCTAGAAGTTCATTTTTCTTTTTCTTTTTTTAAAAAAAAGGAGCAGAAAAAAAGAACTTGCTCAGCCATATAATTGCACAACATGACAAACTTAGTTGATTGTGGAATCTTTAGTTATCCCATAACAAATAAAGTTTTTATTGGTAGGTTATGTAGAATTTGAAGGCACATGTTCATATCCTATCATTAAACTATTAAAGAAACATAAAACCGTATGGGTATATTTTCCAGATTAATTTACGAGGCACTTTTTTGTATCTTCACACCATCAGCCATGTCAATTGTTGGCATTTTCTACAGTGGACCATTCATGATAGATATATACATAAGAATGTACAACAAATAGAATTCGACTATTTGTTATCCACGAGACGTCCAAACATTACTTAGTTTTCCTTTTTAATCTTAAATAAAATAAAATAAAATACAGGGTTAGCAAATCTTTTATTTCCCACAGGACTCTGATTAACAAATAGAAATGACTATAATGAAACTTCACTGGACATGCTTAAGAGTTCTCAACCGAGGATAAAATCTATATACACACACACACACATATATATTATTAACACCAAACAAACACAAGAGAGTAACAGTAATAGAGGAATTAGAATTTCATACATCCGGAGCAGAGACCTTCAGCCAACTTGGTGGAGTCCTCTTGTATGGAAGAGCTGAAGCTGATATACCCTTACTGTAACCACAAACCACACACAAAATTACATCAATTTTGAAAGTAGATCGATTACATATATGTGTGTGTGTCTGGATATATAAAAGTGTTAATCATTAGTGCATATACATATGTGTACATATACATGTGTGTGTGCGTGTTTTTATCACTGAATTGAGTAGAAGAACAAACCCTCGACTATGCATGCGACCCATTTTGACTGCGGTGAGGTTCGCTGTGCAGTGAGCACCAGTTGAACAAGCTCAAACCCTAGATGTCCAGAAGGTGAACGAAGAAGAGCAGATTACGATTTTATATCTACTTTCATTGCATACGAGTAACTGAGATTAGCTAGTTTTGCACTTTTACCCCTTTTATAATAATAATTGAAGTAAACGAGCCCAAACACAATCACTTTCCAATCTGTATGGAGCCCGTAGGCCGCTTTAGGCGGGATTCTTCATTTGTGAGTCCAGATTTTCAATGAGGTCCTGTACAATTGGACTAATTCTGATTTTGGCCCAAATCCTGTTAATCGATCTCTCCTCCTCCTCCCTTCTTTCTTTCTTTTTTTTTTTTTTCGGTGGACAATAATGGTGTCAGGCATCTTAGAGCATGCCATAATCTATCACCTGCAGTCCCCCCTTCCACGTGCACCAAGAACATTTCCTGGGTATGACCTACACTGACTCTGGGTGTGACCTACATTGGGCCAATCTGAGGTAATTGAGTCCAAAAATGAGAACTTTCCAATCTATGTTGAGCCCATGGGCCACTTTACGCAAGATTGTGTATTAATGTGTTCACTTTCAATGCGGTCCAGTAAAATTTGACTCTGTCATTTTGAGCCGGTTAGATTAAGGAACAAGCCTGTTAATTGATCTCTCATACCATTGACTTTGGATGTGACCTCTTCATATATCATAAATGAAATAACTTTGCTCCAAATTTGGTTAGTGTGGTTTTGATCTTTGAATTTTTTAATTTAATTTTTCTTTTCTTCTTTTCATGTAAATATGATCTTTAAATTTTGCTCCTCTGTTAGGTAATTATGACAGAATGTGTTCTGGCCCTATTGGAGTGCGGTTAGGCAATCCCGTTAAACCATGATGCAGATGAATGCAACACCTAAATATTCAAATACATGTGTTTATATATGTGTAATTTATATATGTATATATATAGATATATACACACAACAATATCAGTTGTCCTGATAAGCTAAACAGCATTTGCCAAAACCTTATCTCACACGCACACCACGAATAATATGTTGCTTTATTTATAGAGATGGGAAAGTCGCCTCTTTCAAGCATGATGATAGTGAATAGTGAATACAACAGCTATATATATAAATAAATGCATATATATATATATATATATATATATATATATATATATATATATATATATTCATAATAATATCAATTGGCCTGATCCGTACAAAAGTACAACTACGCTGGTAAGACTTTTGAGATACGTTTTTAAGTTTTTTAGGTTTTCACAATTTATGAGATGTGAGGTTGGTGTATAATTATTTATAGGTAATCGTATAGATCCGAATTTTATAAGTTATATTTGAGAGATCAAAGTTATTAGCATTGAACGGATTTGGTTGGCAAACTATGTACAAGTACTTCTTGCCAATGTGTACCACAATTTGCTGTTCGAAACAATGTGGATTTTATGTGTATGTAACTGCTAGATGACATGTACAACAGCGTTATTGACTTTAGAGCTGAAGTTTTTCGTAACATACAACTTGTCTCTTTAATAATAATATCATTAAATAATTCATAAATCATCTTATTATATATTATAAAACATTCAGGCTTGCTTGTTGGGTTGATGGAACTAAGAAGCTGACTCCGTACAAGCATGCTTATCTCTGAATTTATTTAAATATTATGAAATGCAATTTAAGGTTTTGGAAGATATATGATATACCGCCATCAAATTGTGTGTGATCCTATTGAGGATGTGGATTTTTCTTTCTTTGCTTCCAAACAAACTACTATTTTAGGATTTTTTTTTTTTTTTTTTTATTTTCAAAAAAGAATAAGACTATAAATAGAATTCTTAGAAAGAGGAAATGGATTTCAACGGAATTGAATTTGAAAATGGATTTTTTTTCTTTAACAATTTGAAAATGGATTTCATATGCTTTGGGTGAATGGGATTTTACAAGAATTGGAATTTGATGGAATTTCAGGAGAAATTTTTATAGCGTAGTTTAATTCGGAAATAAATGAGAGGATTTGAGGAAATTTTAGTAATTACTTATGTGTTTAACTTACCAAAATTATCCTATATGATTATTTTATCTCCTCTCTAGCTACAGTTATACCAAAATTATCGAGCTAAAGTTATTTTATTCATGTTTTTTTTTTTAATTCTATCCTAAACACAAATGGAATCCTATTTTAATTAGAATTCAATTCCTCTTGCAATTCTAATTTCAAATCTCAAGAGAATTTAATTACAATCAAAGCAACTTTCGGATTAGGAAACAAAGAAAAATACAAGTAGGATAACTTTCGGATTAGGAAACAAAGATTTACTCGGTTTGTTTTTTTTTATTTTATCTATATATATATATATATATATATAGGGTTAGGGTTAGGGTTACTCATTGAGTTGAAATATAATTTGCTGATTTCCTGTTCTAGGATTCCCTCTCAATCAAACTGGTCGATAGCGGACATGGCGGCTAATAGCAATAATAAAAAAAATTATTGTTGTTGGTCTGAGCTTCCACAAGAAGTGCTGGAGTTGATCATGGCACATGTGACCACAACGTTCGATCTTCTACGATGTCGCGGTGTATGCCACTCACGGCGATCTGCTGCGGCGAGGGTGCTATCATCTGAAATTACGAATGGAGTACCAAAAAGTAGTGCTACTCCATTACTACTCCTGTACAGTACTAACGAGTTATTATGTGATGATCATCGCAAACTGTTATGTCTTGGTTTTGGCAAAAACACCACCACCACAGAGTATAGGTACCGTCCACCCAACATGGAGAGGTTGTCGTACAATGATGATGATGATGTGGTATACCAGATTAGTTGTTTGGAATTTAGAAAAGCCATGGAGAGCTTCCTGAGGGCAGACGACGCCGACGTTGTTGAGGAGGAGACTGATTCCGGCGGTGGCGGTGGCGGTGGCGGTGGTAGTAGTGGTGTTGCTGTTCCCAAAAGGACCGTATGTATCGCTCCCCATCGTGGATGGCTACTACTGTATCCCTATTATGAGAAGGGACTGTATCTCTTCAATCCCCTTTCAAGAATGGTTGTCCATCTTCCACCACCACCCAAACAGTCAATGATCAGTGACAGAAAGGACCTTAGATTCATCACATCGTCCAGTCTTAGCGATCCCAATTGCATGCTCTACTTGTACACCATATACTCATATCATATCGCTGTTTATAGATTTAGTCATAGGGAGTGGACGCCTGTTTTCACTAGAGGAAGCTACAGATGGGTTTCCCTTATATTCTAACAGGGTAACTTCTACTGGCTTGATGATGGTGGTGCGCTTCGATGCTCCTTGTTGGATAAATCTTTGTCTAATTACAATGAGGAGACGGTATGCAATTGTCCTAGTACTTTCAACTCATACACTGAGGTATGCAATTGTTTTAGTACTGTCAACTCATACAGTACTGAGGTATGCAATTGCATTGGTACTATCAACGGATACAGGTACTTTAGGTACTTGGTGGAGTCGTGGTCCGGTGAATTGTTGATGGTTGTGAGGAATTTTGAAAGTTACCAAGATTCTAATGGCAAACCAAGAACCAGAACCAAGTCGTTTGAAATTTTTAAGTTTAATTGGAGCAATCGTAAATGGGAAGATGTGACTAATTTCGGTGATCAAGCTCTATTTTTAGCTCATAATGATTCAAAGTTCGTTTCAGTTAGATACAACCCTGAATATAAACCCAACTCTATCTATTTCATTGATGATGTCATCTTATCTAACTCACTTGAAGAAGATTTTGGAGTGTATAATTTGGAAAAACGCAAGGTGGAGTCATTAAATCTCTCTCATGAACAGATGCAATATAATGTACACTATCGATGGTTTCAACCGATCCTATAGTCTATATTGCTTGATGTACGAAATCTTTAATTTTCTTTTTCTAAGGTTTTGTATGGTCCTATGGGCTATATTGCTTGATGTACAAAATCTTTAATTTTCTTTTTCTAAGGTTTTATATGCACTCTTGTTAATCATACACAGTGAAATTAATGGTTGTACTTTTGTTCCTCTTAATATTAACAGAAACCTTTTACAGCTGATTTTCATTTTAAATTTTGGCTTTTTTAATAGCTATTACTTTGTTATTGATGGAAGTCTATTATTAAAATTTTGGAATTTTAATACTACCTATTATCTTTTAGGCTGTTACTTTGTTATTAATTGAAGTTTATGTGGGAGAAGCATTTCATGGGATGCTCCTGTTCAAAGATGCTCATGTTGGTTTATAGGGGAAAATATATGTGCGTGGAGGAGGCAATTGTTGCAATAGACAGAATATTCCTCCTGAATTAAATTGGTTCCTTCTTGCCATTTCACGGTTATATAAATTGATACAATTAGGGTGCACATGGTTCTTCAAATTAAATTAAAATCAAACTAATTCTTAAAAAAACGGTGACCGATTCAGGTCTGAACCATAATTTTTATTAGAAGTTTTTCATAGTCAGTAGCGTTATAAGAATATATAATATTGAATGAAAGCTATTGACTTGTATTTGTTTTTTCAAATGATAAAGTAAACACACGCTCTTTTGCAAATGTTGGGGTTCGAACCTCTCCCCCTCTTTAAGGATGGAGAGATTATACGTATGTAGAAACCTATTAATAGTTTCTTATTTTTGGAACCAAGTATATAGAAAATTTGACCGATTCAACTTGTACATATGAAATAATAAGAGTTTCGTAAAATAAAATAAATGATTAGTCATGTCCTTATCACTTAAACTTATTGATAAGAGAAGTAAATATAAACTAAGAGGGTAAATGACCACCAGAGTGGTATCTTAGTCAAGAATATAAGATGATTGTCATATGATTTGATAAGTAGATATGTCCAGTAGAGCAAACACAAACATCTGAACATTTGAAGTGCAAAATGAAATCACATTAATCAAAACAAATTTTTAAATATTTAGGTGTTGCATTCATCTGCATCCTGCTTGAAAGGGATTGCCTTACCCCCTCCAATAGGATCGGAACACATTCTCTCATCACCTAAGAGAGGAACAAAATTCAAATATTATATTTACAGGGGAAAAAAAAAAGTTTCAAAGTTCAAAACCACATTAAATGCCACAGTCAAATGTGAGGAGAGAGCGATTAACAGGCTTGGGCTTTAATCTAGCAGGCTAAAATTCGAATTAGTCATTGAAAAGTTAAGCACGCAATTACACAATCTTGCCCAAAGTGGCCCATGGGCTCAATAATTCTTTCATTAATTGAAAGGTGCATGGGTGGCAAAGTTTGATACAATTTGCCAACACGATTCGAACACGACACGAGTTAAACGGATTTGGATTAACCATAAACGGATTGACACGATTAATCCATTTAGTTAATCGTGTCGTATTTGGATTAAGTGATTCAACCATATTACTCGTTTATACCCATTTAATCATCCGTGTTATAAGCAAATTTCTATTTAAGTTTTAAAATAATTATCTAAATTTGTATCTTATAATTTATTCTTTTGTATATTAGAGATTATTTAGTAACTTGATTGGATTGAAACTTATACTATTCTAGTATTTAAAGTTTGATGGAATATTATTAATAATTTAAATAATAAAATATTTAATTTTATTAAACAGGTTATACGTGTAACTCGTTTAATAAACAGGTTGGGTTAGTATTGAGAGTTCTTGATACGATTATTAAATGGGTCAGGTTTAAATTGAACTGTTTACTAAAATATCCTTAAATTGATACGATACGATTAGGATTTACGAATACAAATTGCCATGCTAAGAAGGAGAGACTACTTATGTCCTATAATAGATTATTGGGGTGTCTAAGAGGCCCACACCATCATCGTCCAAAGAAATATTAATAACAAACAAACCCGGAGAGATGATTAACAGGATTTGGCCCAAAATCAGAAACAGTCCAATTGAACAGGACCGCATCTAAAATTTGGACACACGAATGCAGAATCCTACCTAAAGCAGCCCATGGAAAAGTGGTCGCGTTTGGGCTTGTTTGCTTCAATTAGTTCCAAAGTATATACAATTCGAATTATTATAATTCAAAGCGGTAAAAGTGAAAAACTAGCTACTCTCAGGTACTCGTATGCAATTAAAGTAGATATAAAATCCTAATCTCCTCTTCGTTCCCCTTGTAGCCATCTAGGGTTTGAGCTTGTTCAATTGGTGCTCACTGCATTTTCTACAGTGGACCATTCATGATAGATATATACATAAGAATGTACAACAAATAGAATTCGACTATTTGTTATCCACGAGACGTCCAAACATTACTTAGTTTTCCCTTTTAATCTTAAATAAAATAAAATAAAATACAGGGTTAGCAAATCTATTATTTCCCACAGGACTCCGATTAACAAATAGAAATGACTATAATGAAACTTCACTGGACATGCTTAAGAGTTCTCAACCGAGGATAAAATCTATATATATATACACATGTATATATTATTAAAACCAAACAAACACAAGAGAGTAACAGTAATAGAGGAATTAGAATTTCATACATCCAGAGCAGAGATCTTCAGCCAACTTGGTGGAGTCCTCTTGTATGGAAGAGCTGAAGCTGATATACCCTTACTGTAACCACAAACCACACACAAAATTACATCAATTTTGAAACTTGTAGATCGATTACATACATGTGTGTGTGTCTGGATATATAAAAGTGTTAATCATTAGTGCACATACATATGTGTACATATACATGTGTGTGTGCGTGTTTTTATCACTGAATTGAGTAGAAGAACAAACCCTCGACTATGCATGCGACCCATTTTGACTGCTGTGAGGTTCGCTGTGCAGTGAGCACCAGTTGAACAAGCTCAAACCCTAGATGTTCAGAAGCCGAACGAAGAAGAGCAGATTACGAATTTATATCAACTTTCATTGCATACGAGTACCTGAGATTAGCTAGTTTTGCACTTTTACCCCTTTAATAATAATAATTCGAGTAGTATACTTTGGGTCTAACTAAAGTAAACGAGCCCAAACATAATCACTTTCCAATCTGTATTGAGCCCGTAGGCCGCTTTAGGCAGGATTCTTCACTTGTGAGTCCATATTTTAAATGCGGTCCTGTACAATTGGACTGATTCTGATTTGGCCCAAATCCCGTTAATCGATCTCTCCTCCCATTTTTTGTTTTTTGTTTTTTTTTTATTGGTGGACAATGATCATGTCGGGTATCTTAGAACATGCCATAATCTATCACCTGCAGCCCCCCCTTCCACATGCGCCAAGAAAATTTCCTGGGTATGACCTACATTGACTCTGGGTGTGACCTACATTGGGCCTATCTGAGGTAAATGAGTCAAAAAATGAGAACTTTCCAATCTATGTTGAGCCCATGGGCCACTTTATGCTAGATTGTGTATTAATGTGTTCACTTTCAATGCGGTCCACTACAATTTGGCTGACTCTCATTTGAGCCGGTTAGATTAAGGGTGTGTTTGGTAGGGTTGATTTGGAGGGATGAGGAGAGAAAAGAAAAGAGAGGATAGTGTGAAGTTGTGTTTGGGTAACTTAAGTGGAGGGATAGGGAGGGATACCTATCCCTGCTATCCCTCCCTATCAGCTATTGCCTTTCTCTCCTAATTTGAGAAGATAGGGAGAGAAATGCTAGTGGGAAAAATTATAAAGTGCTAATACCAAAAATGCCCTTTAGAAATCAACACACTGAAATTTAATTCCATTCATGTCCCAACTATTACTTATTCTTACTAGGGCAACAACGGATTAGAAGTGAGAGGCGACGCTGAGACCAATTAACTTGAGAGGCGACGCTGCTTCAGAATACTTCTCCAGCTTCGGGCAAGGGCGACACTGCTTCTTCCTCTTCTCCAGATCAAGTCAGTATTTTTGCAATCAATTGATGCTTTTGAATCAATTTTTTGATTTGTTTTTCTTGTTAATTTTTAGTAAACCATAGTTTTTAATTTCGCCGAAATGGGATACAAAAAGTCAAAGTGTAGAAATGAATAAAAATATGGTCACTTTGTAGTTTGCTTGACCCCGATGATTGAAATATATTTAGTGGAAGTGGAGATCTATGTAATTTATTTTATTTTATTTCTCCTGTTGAATTTGGGAAAAGTGTTCTGATGTATTTTAAGCAGTGTAATCTAAAGTGTACAAAGATGATATTAACTCCCAAAATTGTACATGGTTTATTTGATACCTCAAAATATAAATGTAAGGATTTCTGGTGTCTTTCTCTGAGATGCTTCCTATTTTCTACAGATTGTTCTTTTCACAAGATGAAATTTGGATATGACCATTTAACATGGTAGGTGTCTTCATGCATAAATGTGTAACTGCAAATCATAAGAAAATGAACTTATTGATATGTAAAACACACAAAATAAAGTTAATAATGGTCAATTAATTTTAAACAGAGAACAAAAGAGTGTATTGAAATGTAAGTCTGTATTTTTCTTGGATTAGGAGACACATAAGGATTTATTTTTCTTGGATTAGGAGACACATAAGGAAAAAGCAAAACAAAAACAATAAAAAAAAACCCCTTTCAGACCATACCTCCATCTCCCCTGAATGGGTTCAGCAAAGGTGCTTTAATACCAACTGCTCTAGCATACACATTTGGAACTTGTTCAAAGGGAACTGTTTTAGTTACATAATTTTGCGCCCAAAGTGTTTCTGCAAATATGTAAAGCTATAATTTTAAGAAAATTCAAGATAAAAAAAACTGTAATCATCAAACAAAAGAACACATGAAACAATTAACTTCGGGAACTCTCATTAAAGAACTTTGAAAATATTGAAGAACATATTAAAAGAGTACGTCTTGATAGCAATACAAATCTAAAGATTCCGTGAAATCAAATTAATTCATAAAACAATTTTTTTAAAAAAAAAAACAATTAATGCAAGATCATATACCTTTATTTTTCACGACAGATATCGTCCTCTGCTTTAGAAAAACCTCTGCGTCTTCTTGTTTTTCAAGAACCTTCAACAGCTGTTGAAGATTTGCAGAAGCTTCACCCTCAAAGTAAAAATCGTAACTTTCTAAACCCTGGGCATTGAATTCTGCGTACCAGGTCCTTCCTTTATCATCCACAATGCCTACTGAAACTCCATCCCTCCAGCAACGAAAGACTCCATTGACATGAAAACTGCTCAATGCTTTCAAGATAACTATGGCTTTCGAATTTCTAAAACCTATCTTGCAAAGTGTGAACGACACTGTCATCTTCTCTGTAGTTCTTGACATCTTTCTTGGAGAGAATGAGATTGCCGTGACCGTTGCATTTAAAAAAATCACCTGGTTATGTTGTTATCACCTAAAGCTGCTTATATTTAAACGAACCTGGGTATGTTGGCCCCAGGCCTTGTGGGTTGTGTTAGTCAGACGGACTCAGGACGAAGTTAGCCCACTTTAAGGGGGTTAGTGGTTAGAGCCTAGGGGTCTCAATTCATGCAGTGAGTTGTAAGGTATTCTACTAATGAGCTCCACCCGTTTAATAAATGTATCAAGGATCTTTAATATTAATCGGGACTTATTTATTAAACACGTTATTAATGACTTATTTAATAAAGTAAAATATTATATTATTTAAATTATTAATAATACTCAATCAAACATCAAATATTAGAAAAATATAGATAGTTATTTTGGTACTTAAATAAAAATTTGTTATTAAATAATCTCTAATCTATAAAATAATAAATTATAAGATACAAATTTAGATGGTTATTTTGGAATTTAAATAGTTAAATGGGTTGCACGGGTTAAACCTTTTAACCCAAATATAATACGATTAACTAAATGAGTTAATCGTGCCGACCTATTTACGACCCAAATTCGTTTAAGGTCAACCAAAATTTGCTTAATTCGTATCGTGTTAGTGGGTTATGTCATACTTTGACACCCCTAGTTAAAAGGGAGGGGTAGGATGCAAGCCTCGAGCACAAGCTCTCGAACACAGGGAACAATCCAACCACTTAAGTAACATAACACTTAACGAATTTTTCATAATTCAATTTTCATATTATTGAAAACGAAAATTTAAATTATTCAAAAGCAATAATTTAGAAATTATAACAGTTTATGTTATCAATGACTGAAGAATAGTTTCAAAATAAATATATAAATAGACAAGCTGAAAAATTGAAATATTTTAAAATTTAAAAAAAATATATTTCAGGGAAATATTTTAAATTTCATGTGACAGTTTTTTACATCTGCTTACTTAGAATTAAATAATAATAATAATAATAATAAGGAGGAGGAGGAGGAGGAGGAAGAAGAAGAAGAAGCCAATTTTTTTAATTATAAAAAACCAATTTTGGAAGGACTTGTTTAATAGGTTTCAAAACAATTCAGACATCATTTTAAATTAAATTTATAGCTATTCTCTCTCACACACAAACACCCCAACCCCTCCCTCCCTCTCCTTCTCTGTGTGTGTGTGTGTCTCTTTCTGATTGTGTATTCATCATTTTAAATTAAATCTAATAATGCAATTGTCCCTATTAATTTTTTAGCTCTATATGCGCACGACTGAAAATTAATTTGTTGAAACATTGTGGTGTATTCATCATTGTAAATTTTTTTTCTATAACTTTAGTGGATTGAAATTTATTTATTTATCACAAAAAAATATAATGACGAAATTATCCCAAAATAAAAACAAATATTTAAAAATTTCCTTTAAATTAGTTACCGGGTCTTGACGGGTTGACTTGAATCATTTTGACCCAACCCATATTTGACCCCACTACAATGGGTTGAATGTGAATTACAATTCATACTTGACCGCTCATATTTAATTTGGTCCAAATTTGACTCAACCCACTCATTTGACACCCATAGGTAATTGTTAAAACCCGAACAATGGTCAGATTGACAGCCTAAACTGGTGCACACAATACAAGTTTGTGTCAAACCGATGCAATTTTTTTCAAATGAAATTTAAGAAGCACGAATATTTTTACGACGTGGCAAACAAACATTCACAGTATTAGCCTATTCTGCCCTTTGTCTGTACCAAACTGGTCCACGCCTAACAAACAGTTCTTGTGATTTTAAGCAGATTTGGGTTGTTGCAGGACAGACGCCTTTTCGGTTTATTGCACTGGACTACTAAATATTTAATTAATTAGTAGTACATGTTTTGGAATTGTGGCCATTTCTATCACCAAGCCAAACATCACCTATTTACTTTTGTTATTATGCGAAATACTTTAATATTTAATTAGCTTGAATAACAATAACAAAATTGAAAGTAAACAAATAAAAAAAAAAAAAGAAAAAAAAAAGAAAGAAGAAGTTATTTAAAAAAAAAAATTAAGTTGTATAAAGAGTAGTTATGATATTATAAAATAAGTGATTATGCATTAATTAGTTCAAGAACCTGTTTGTCATTTTCTTTAAAATAAAAAGGTAAGTAGAATGCAATAAGAAAAAATTGGAGTGCGTCTTCCAAATTTGAATATAAAATATAATATATACACATTTATTTTATATGCAAGAATAATACTATATATATATATATATATATATTTTTTTTTTAAATTCTCACGTAATATACATGATATGAATTTCATTTACCTCATAATTAAGTTTAGTTTTATTTATTAATTTTGTCAAGAGAATTAGTTCAGGACTTAAATTTCGTAAATAAATTATATATTATAATGTTCCATGTTCTTAAAAAAATAAAATAATGCAATAAAAATTCATTTCAAAATTGGGACAATCAGCATATGGTATGAGTGTTCATTTATTAATGATTAAATTTATTATTATTCATTAATTGATTACAAATATAATCGGATCCCAACTTAAAATTATAAATATTTTATTACTTGTATTAAATGGTCTTAAAAATTATATTAAAATATAAAATAATAAAAAAAAAATTATTGGATTATGTTGTAAAAATATGCGTGTAGATGCAAAAATTCACTTAACTTTGACAAGATAACGAATTCTCTACAATTACTACACCCAAAATAATAATATACAACAAACAGTGAACTAGAGAAATTATATAGAGATGAGGGGGTATTTTGATGATATGACCAAATCTAGGATTACCTAGATTGCTTACGTATCCCGCATGGAGTGCGGCAATCAGGTCGGAACGTATTCTGGTGATGAGAATTGGATTTCTATTTTTGGGGCTTTGCCCTTTTTTCTGTGTCCCCTTTATTGAGGGTCCTGAACCCTTTTTATGTATAGGAAAACCATAATCGATTCCTTTTAGGACTTGCATTGCTTGTCCCTTAAGAATCTGAATTACATCATACTTTCCTTATAACAAGGATTTACATTATTTAATTTCCATAGATTATAATTCCACTTCTGATAGAACTATTACTAAAAATGGATTTAGTGACATATTCGTAATTGGGTTTGGGGTTTTATCATCTCGGGTCTTCTTGATGAGTTCAGCCTATTATGCTTAGTTAACCTGGCTCAAGCTTCTTGCAGAGGCCCAATTTAAAGGTTGAATAGTCTCAGTATTTGTGGTGGTCCCCTTATATGCTGATGTGTCTTGTCTTAATTGGAAGGGGAGATTTTTGCCCCCATACTTTGCCCTCAATTCCCTTTTGTTTGACGTGACAGCCATAACTAGAGGGAATTAATCTTAGCTAATGATTTGTAATGGTAATTGTAGTAAATCAAAATGTCCGAGGCTTGAGGCTCCTTGGCTATGCGCCTGAGGAATTTTTTAATGTGTTCGGACTCTTGAGATTCTAGGTATTTGATTGATACTTATGGGTCTTTGGGGTCCGAAACATGCACTTTACTGATTCCTTTGAAGTTTTGTGGTCCAAATCATGCTTTTCCTTGACAGTGATATATGCCTTGGAGTAGTTTAATATCTTCGGAATATTGAGGTCCGAAGCATGTAATTCCTCGGTCTCTGCATGTGCCTTAAGGAATTTACTAATGTGGGAGACTTGGGATCCAAAGTTTATAGTTCCTCGGCTTCTGCATTTGACTATTGAGGTTCGAGGCTTGTATTCGGACTCTTAGGGCCCGAAGCTTGTTATTCTTAGGCTGTACGCCTTAAAGGAATTTATTGATACTTTCGAACTCTTAATATTTGAGGCTTGTGATATCCTTGGCTTCATGCCTAAGAGGAGAAGATTTCAAAAGTGAGAGATGGTCTTCAGAATCGTAGGTCCGAAGATTTCAAGAGTGAATAATGATGGTGATCATTTTTAATAATCATCCTAGAGATCAACATAGTGTTTTTCTTGAGCAATTAGCTTTAACTTTCCTGATTAGCATTCCGAGGTAATTTATTTTTATCCTCGTCACTACTCTGTGCTTCAGAGGATATGAAAATTTTAACCGTCGACTTATTTGAGTTCGAGGTAATTTCATTTTGTTCCGTGGTACTTTTGTGTCTTAAAGAAATTTTGAGGTACTCAGACTCTTGAGGTCTAAAGGCGAATGTTTATTCCTCGGCAGCTCTTTGTGCCTTAGAGGAAACTTGAGGTCCTTGGACTTTTTGAGTTCCGAAAATAAATTTTATTCCTCGGCAGCTCTTTGTGCCTTAGAGGAATTTAGTGATACCTTCAGATTCTTAAGATCCGAGGTATCTATTTGACTGGTATCCTCAGACTCCTGAGGTCTAGAGTGTGTGTCTCCTCGGCCTCTATATGTGCCTTAGAGGACTCTTATTGATGCCTTTGAATTCTCAACTTCTGGAATATGTGCTACATTCATACTATCATGATTCGAGGAATTTGAAAAGGATAGGCTCAAGAAAGAGAGTCCCTTGATATGTATGTTTCTGATTGAGCGATTTTACTTGAAGACCTATTTATCAAGGGGCCCCTTTCTTGGCGATCAACAATTGTGGGATTGCACTATATATTGAACTCACGTTTTTCATTTATTTACGATATGGGACAAAACTTTTAACGGGTTGTACACTATTAGGCCAAGTATGTGGGCCTGTGAGTGTGATAGTCATAAAGAATATTTGCCCCCATTTAGGTTCAGACCTATTGACTTAACTTCAGACTTTTTGCATTCGAGGTGGTAAGTTCTTTGGCCATGAGTCTGAGAGGAACTGTATTATACTGGACTCTTGAGGTCCGAGGGCATGTAGTTCCTCGACCATGTGCTTGGGAGGAACTGTATTGTACCGGACTTTTGAGGTCTGAGGCATGTAGTTCCTCGGCGATGAGTCTGAGAGGAACTGTGTTGTACCGGACTCTTGAGGTCCAAGGTATGTAGTTCCTTGGTCATGAGCCTGAAAGGAACTGTAATGTATCGGACTCTCGAGGTCCGAGGTATGTAGTTCCTTGGCTATGAGCCTGAGAGGAACTGTACTTAGGCCAAATAGTCTGGGCTTAAAAAAGAGAGAATATATTTTCTTTTCTTAATATCTTTTTCCTCGGTTATGAGCCTGAGAGGAACTGTATTGTACCGGACTCTTAAGGTCTGAGGGCATGTAGTTCCTCGACCATGAGCCTGAGAGGAACTGTATTGTACCGGACTCTTGAGTTTTGAGGGCATGTAGTTCCTCGGCCATAAGCCTGAGAGGAACTGTATTGTACCGGACTCTTGAGGTCCGAGGCATGTAGTCCTTCGGCCATGAGCCTGAGAGGAACTGTATTGTACCGGACTCTAGAGGTTCGAGGGCATGTAGTTCCTCGGCCATGAGCTTGAGAGGAACTGTATTGTACCGGACTCTTGAGGTCCGAGGCATGTAGTTCCTCGGCGATGAGCTTGAGAAGAACTGTATTGTACCGGACTCTTGAGGTCCGAGGTATATAGTTCCTCGGCCATGAGCCTGAGAGGAACTGTAATGTACCGAGCTCTCGAGGTCCGAGGTATGTAATTCCTCGGCTATGAGCCTGAGAGCAACTGTATTTAGGCCAGATAGTCTGGGCTTAAAAAAGAGAGAATATATTTTCTTTTCTTAATATCTTTTTAAGGCTGCTTATATTGCCCCCATTATAGAAGGTATTGCCTCCATGAAGGAGAGAAAAAATATGTCTTGTTTGATGGCGGCGATGTAAATAATTTTCATGAAAGTGTATTCCTCGGCACTATTTTGTGGCTTGTAGGATTTTACATGAAAATCTAACATTCGACTTATTTGAGTTCGATATAATTTTCATATAATTTTATTCGTTGGAACTTTTTGGTGCCTTGGAGGAATTTTTGATGCCGCCGGACTCTTGAGGGCTGAGGCTTAATTTGTTGTTTCTCGGCATTGTGCCTTAGAGAAATTTTTAATGCCGTTGGACTCTTGAGGTCCGACGCTTAATATGTTGTTCCTCGGTATTATGCCTTAGAGGAATTTTTGATGCCGCCGGACTCTTGAGGTTCGAGGCTTAACTTGTGGTTAGGCTATTTGCCACTTTTTTCTTTTTAGACCAGGTAGCTCTTCGTGCCTTTTGCTTCCACGCATGCACATCTGCCTCAATTATGCTTGGTACTTCCAGAGTTTGATGATGCTTTAGTGATAGATCTAGGCAATCAATGAGACTTTATATGTTGAACTAATCAGTAGTCATAGTTATAGATAACATCGCCTAGACAAGCTCTGCCACTTTGCAATGACAAATAAATTATGGACCACAGATAGTGGCACCAAAGACAAGCATGGCATCATTATGAACAAGAGGGGAAATTTATATCATAAGAATAAATTAACCTTATGATTGCATCTACATATATTTATTCAAACAATATAATGAATAATTGTCTAAAGCTTAGAATTGTAGTTGAGATATATTTGGCACCTAACACATATATATCATTGACAACCACATCTAAGCACAAGTTGTATGTTAACTCTTTGTGTGCATTCTAATATATGATATGCAGTGCTTGCGAAAACACTTTCCTGCTATTGTCAATTAATTGATCAATTGCAAATTTAAATGTACCTCCATAACTGAAATGAAGAGATGAGTGTAAATGAATGCATTCGTGCATATAATTTAAAGTTACATCATTTATGCTTATAGCAAAACAGAATTTATCTATTCTTTTCGAGATAAATCGGTAAGGGGAGTAGTTGTAGTGCCACTATGGCAACTCATTGTGCTGATAATACCAATATATGGCATAATAAAAATTGTACTCCTTCACTATTATTTATGAGTGGCATAATAATGGACTTCTAGAGCAAGGTTACAGTTATCCTGCTAGCTTCATTAGAATTATTCCTTAGAATTTTTCTAATGACATTCTATATTGGGAGAGAAAGAATGAAGAACCAATTGAATTATGCCTTTGTATATTCTCGAATACCTTCCGTAATGGGGCAAGAATCCTACTTCCTCTAAGGTCCTTTGGTAATATATGGGCCCATTACGGAAGGTATTCGTATTTGGGTTTGGGGTTTTATCATCTCTGGTCTTCTTGATGAGTTCAGCCCATTATGCTTAATTAACTTGGCTCAAGCTTCTTGTAGAGGCCTAATTTAAAGGTTGAATAGTCTCAGTATTTGTGGTGGTCCCCTTACGTGCTGATGTTTCTTGTCTTAATTGGAAGGGGAGATTTTTGCTCCCACAATGCGCATTGCTGCATTTTGGATCCTATGTGCTAGATCGAAAAAAATTTACGATTGTGATAATTGATTCTGTTATGATCATGACTAATACTAACTTAGTATAGAATTAATAAATTAATTAAAATTCTATAAGGATCTGATTCAATAGATACATTAAAATATATATATATATATATATATTTATATTAGTCGTACCCATCATTTTAAGAATTTGACCGCCTTAGTCATATCGGTTTCCGTGTCTTTCTTACTGGGTATAATGTAACTCTACTCTTGACTGCCACTTGCAATATGCATTCTAAAGAATTCTGATTTTCTTCCCTCTTCCTTCTCTGCAATGCTAAGTCCCAATAGATCATTTTGAGTCCGTTTTCAATAATATATACATTAAAGTGGCATTTAAGAGTTTTGAATATTACTTTTGATTGATATAAATATTTTAAGAATTAGTAAACCCACGCAAAATTACATTAAATCAGAGATATGGAGTATATAAGTGTTTAATTCTTTCTTTTGTTTTTATTTTATTTTATTTTTCTTATGTATAGAGAAATTGGAGGTACGTAAGTCAACTTGCAGTTTATCCTTTTAAAAAAAGGTGTTGTATTATTTCCTACAAAAAACTTTTATTTATGTTGCATAACATAATCCCTGTACTTGGTAACGGCAGATAAATTGCAAGAAATCTATTAACTGCCTTGTGCTTGTTAAATTAATAATAATAATAATCTTGTAGAATTGATAGACCCATTATTTTATGAATATTGCGCATAAAATCTCTTTGTAATATGAATATTATATATTAATTTACCTTGTTATTTTTTACAGTTTAACAAAAACAAAATCACATCTTAACATATGTTAATGGTATGTTACTTAAAACTGAAGCTGCCATCAAGCATGAAATTGTCTCCCACTTCAATGAATGCCATGGTATTAATGCACACTGCTCCCCATATCTTAATCAATTACAATCATTTATTCAGACTTCATTGCCAACTTCATTCTTAGATTCACTCTGCTCAATCCCTTCTGATGAAGAGATCCACCACTGTATGTTCTCCCTCAACAGTGACAAGGCCCGATGGTTTCAATGTTTTCTTCTTTAAGAAAGCTTAACCAATTGTTGGTCATGATGCTACAAAGGCAATTAGACCGTTCTTCACCACTGAAACTGTTAAGAGACTCTGAAGCCACAACGGAAGCATTTAAAAATGCGTAACCACGTGATTTTTCATCAAATCAAAAAGTACTGTAAAGGGACTGTAAAGGGGTCCCATACCTTTAGACGATTGAATAATCGTCGAATACGATAACACAATTATTTGGCCTTGAATACCAATGAGTCTTCACCTCTATGACCCCAATATAGGTTTGTGGAACCCTACCCTTCTCTCTCACTCTTTGTATATTGTATTGTGTAACATAATAATTTTGTACCGCAACATTACCAAATATATGACTTGAGAGAGTCAGTTAAAAGTCTGGGACTAGCTCCAATTGGATAGAGATAGAGTGAGATAACTCTATCTTATCCAATTAATTACAATAAGCACTACAATAATATTGTAATTGCACTCTAGGATTTAAAAATTAGGACAAGGCCCTGTTTGCTAAATAATTACATATAAGCCCCTCCACTACCGAATATCCATAAGTAGCCCCAGGAAAATATCCCACTTAAGGCTTACTTATATTTTATATTTCTTGAGTAACCAATTTAATCCTTATGATCACTGAATGAAATTATTTTATAAAAGGATTTTTTAAAATAAATATTTTTCTAAATAAATAATAAAAAAATAACTTAGTAAACATTTTACTAAAAGCCCTAGTCAGGTTCCAGTGATCAAACTTATTAAATTGCATCAAGAGGATATTCTAACTCTTATAAAGAGTGTGGATTCCATGTTGAGCCTTTATGTTCCCAGAGCTCCAACATTAGCCACCCAAGATACCGTGGTATTGATCTTAAAAAGATCTCACACATTGGTAAGTCAATGTGACTAGTACTGAATTTGAGTTCACTAAATCTCTCAGTATTTAGAGCTTACGAATTTAGTAAATAAGAAACACACCAGAATAATGACAATACATTGTATGGTGTGATCTTATAGTGATACAGTTTAATGTACTTCAAGCACACTAACACATTATCTTAGAGTCAACTACCCTAATGGTCGAGACAAACCATCCTATCTTATAGAGGTCAAGTGTGTTACAGTCTTACAAATAAAAGTGCCCAACTTTTATCACTGACTGCAAACAATGCCAAGGTGCAAGAAACAGGTGAGCCCAACTCTCCTGCGTGTAAATCTCATTTACACACTTAAGTCACCTATAATGCAACTTGAGGACTATAATGCAACTCATACAAATATATGTAAAGTCCAATGCATGAATATCATATTTATTAATAAAATATTAAATAAATAATAAATAATTGGATTGTAGGGCATATGATCCCAACAAACTCAACCTACATCTCACTTGTCCCTAAAATTACAAATCTATCTACCATCAGTGATTATACATCAATATCATGCTACTCAACCATTTACAAATGCATATCAAATTTACTTGCTAACAAGCTCAAGCCTACATTGCCCCATATCATTGATCAAGCACAGTCTGCATTTATGCTTGGAAGGCAAATTGATGACAGCATTCTTCTTGTACAAGAGCTCCTCAATGGTTACCATAGGCAAACTTTCTCCCCAAGATGTGCCCTCAAGATAGATCTTAAGAGAGCATTTATTTCAGTATCATGGGACTTCCTATTTGATTCCCTAAAATTGTTTGGTTTCCAGCACTGTTTAACAACTGAATCCAAACTTGTGTTTCTACTCCCACATTCACCATTTCCATCAATGGGGAATTTAATGGCTACTTCAGCAGTTTAAAGGGGTTGAGGCAAGGGGACCCCTTGTCACCATTCCTCTTTGTGATTGTCATACAGGTTTTTTCACTCATTATCAACAAATTCACATTGGATAGGCCATTCAAGTTCCACTGGAGATGCAAAAGAGCTGAGGCTAACCCATTTCATCTTTGTTGATGACCTTACACTCCTCACATGTCAGCATTCCCTCTCTAACAACCCTTAAGCTTGCTATTGAAACATTCTCATCCTTCTCTGGACGTCATATAAACCATAACAAGAGTCAAGTCTTTATCATAGGTGTCAATGAGCAAATGGAATCTACTATTATCTCCCTCCTTGGATTTGAGAAATGAGATTTGCCTGTGAAATACATTGGAATGACACTGGTCACCTCCATGTTGAGAGCTTCTGACTGTAGGAAACTCATTGACAAAATCACTTCCAGAATCATGCACTGGACCAGTAGAGAACTCTCCTTTGTTGGTAGGATGCAGCTTATTAGAGCTGTACTATTTTCTACATAGCTATATTGGAGCTCGAAGTTCATTTTGCCAAAAAGTATTATATATGAAATGGACAGTATCTTTAGATCCTTTCTATGGTTGATCTGGCCCTATCCTCAAGAAAACTGGCTCAAAAGTTGCTTAGGATACCTGTTGTCTCCCTAGGAGAGCCAGAGGACTTGGTATTCCAAATTTAGCTTCATGGAATGAGTAGCTGTCATGAAGCATTTTTGGCACATCATCAATTCTAAGAAAATGATTTAGGTTCAATGACTGAACACTTATTTATTCAAGGGAAGAAGTATTTGGGAAGTGAAGACTCCTGGGCAATGCTCTTGGAACTGGAGGAGACTACTCAACCTTAGGACATCAATTAAACCTCTTGTCAAACTTGAAATTGGTGATGGAAGTAATACCAATTTCTGGTTTAACAACTGGTGCAACCTAGGGCTTCTGCACTAACTTGTCTCCCCACAGCAAATGATTCACTCAAATGTTGACACCAAGACAAAGTTGCGTTCCTTCATAGTCAACTTCACATCGTTATTTCCAGCTACCATCACCAACATACTCCCCCAATTGCTGGATCATACCCATCCATTGCCACAACCATGCGCACAAAAGCAGGATAAAGTCATTTGGATTCCCTCCTCTTTAGGATTCTTTTCAATTGCTCAAACAATGAAGCACTACAATCAACATTTGCCTTCACTCCCATGGACTCACCTGGTTTGGTCTAAGCAATCAATTCCCAAGCATTCATTCACCCTTTGGGTTGCTATACAACAAAAATTACCAACATTGAATAAAAGATGCACTGCTAACCTCAATGCCACACTATATGTTATCTGCAACAATCAACTGGAGTCCCATGACCACTTATTCTTCAAATGCGAATATGCTAAGCCCTTGTGGTCCTTCCTTCAAGCTTGATGCATGTGGATTTCACATCCAACCCTCCTCTTGGCCGAACTTAATTGCTTGGGCAACTCATCACTGGCAACGCAACTACAGCATCTCAGTTTGCAAAATGGCATTAGCATCATTGGTTTACAATATTTGGAATGAGCAACCGGACAATTTTCAAGAAAAATTCTCTTACCTAAAACTCGTTGCTGCATCAAACGTTGGAGGCAATCAGATTGAAGCTGATGTCCTCTCCAATCACTGAATCGGCCACTGATAAGCGCATAAGCGAAGAATAGGAGATCCCACCATCATCTACACGACCTCCGGCGAAGCCTCTTGACCACCGGATTTGAAGGGAGCCATCTTCTCCATGCTTACACTATTGTGTGTGGTGACCAGTAACATTTATATGGTTTGTCAACTCTACGGGGGATTGTTTTCTACTTGGGCCAGACATCTTATGTATTGGATGTTAATGTGGTTAGCCTGGGCTAACTTAAATATGTATACGGTTTCTATTATTTTAATAAAATTGAAATTCACATTTCAGTCTATATACACATACATATATATGCAAAGTGTTAACAATCAGTGCTAGTTTCAGTATGTATCTTAGTCGCTCTTTTCATCAGTGTCAGTTTACTTCATTAATTATGGTGTCTCCTACTTTAATGGGGTCTTAAAAACTTAACATTTTAAGACAAAATTACTCTTTATAATTTTACATGTCTTTCTTTTCTTTCCTCGTGAAGTGTGTGTGTGTATATAAATAGCTAACAACAATTAAAAAAAAGAAAAAAAAAAAGAAAAAGAAGTAAGAGAGGAAAGAATCCTTATAAGTAGGAAACACAATGATATATTTATATACACGGATCAAAAGAGAGGAGGATAGTTTTGTCTAAAAAAGTTATAATTTCAAAGTTTCATATAAATAGGAGACATAACAATTATTAAAGGTTTTTTTTTTTTTTTCAAGACAAGAAATGAATTATTAAATTAAACTATAGCCAATAAAATGAGCAACCCTTAGCATTCTTCTATATTTATATACACGGATGGAAAAAAAAAAAAAAAAAAAAAGAGCATAATTTTATTTTGAAAAAGTAAAATATTAAAATTTCATATAAATATGAGACATAATAATTATTAAAGTAAATTGGGTAAAGTACAGTCACACCCCGCCTGAGGTTTGGCAAAAGGATATTCAGATGAAATTTACCTGTTTTTTTGGACAAAGACACTCCCTGAAAGTTCAAAAATGAACAAAGATACAACTTTACATGAAAAATTGACCAAATTACCTTTTGACTGTTTAGGAGATTTTTTTAACTTTACAATTTAATAAATTGGACCAATCTACCCTCATGAATAATTTATGCATAAAAAAAAAAGTAACAAAAAAAAAACTTTATATTGTTTACCTCTTTTTTTTTTTTTTGGTTATTTACTTTATAAATGTTCCAATTTCTTAAAAATGTAGACGTCTAAAATGATTTTTTGATCCAATACATATATTTCATATAAATTATATTTTATTATTACTTCTTTTCTTTTCTTTTTTATTTTTAAATTAAGATGCTTAATTCTTTCATCTAAAAAAATTAAACTAATCTCTTTTCCTTAAAAGTAAAAAATATGGTACCAGTATAACTTTATGCATCTTAAATTATATATCAAATATTATGCATTTACCAACATAAAAGGGAAAAAAATAATAATAAAATAAAGGGAAAAAAAAAAAACAAAGGGAAAAAAAAAAAAAAAAAAAAAACAAAGGCATGCATAAAGTTATAGTGGTACCTATTTTCTTTTATATTGGGAAATACATAATATTTAATATATAATTTAAGATACATAAAGTTATACTGGTACCATATTTTTTTATTTTTAAGGAAAAGAGATTGGTTTAATTTTTTTAGATGAAAGAATTAAGCATCTTAATTTAAATTATAAAAAAGAAAAAGAAAAGAAGTAATAACAAAATATAATTTATTTGAAATATATGTATTGAATAAAAAAATAATTTTAGACGTTTACATTTTTAAGAAGCTGGGACATTTATAAAGTAAATAACAAAAAATAAAAAAATAAAAAAGTGAACAATATAAAGTTTTTTTTATTATTATTTTTATGCATAAATTGTTCATGAGGATAGATTGATCCAATTTATTAAATTGTAAAGTTAAAAAAGTCTCATAAACGGTCAAAGGGTAATTTGGTCAATTTTTCATATAAAGGGGTGTCTTTGTCCATTTTTGAACCTTCAGGCAGTGTCTTTATCCAAAAAATAGGTAAGTTTCTTCTGAGTGTCTTTTTGTCAAACTTCAGAGGGTGTGGCTGTACTTTTTATAGCAAATAAGATGAGCACTGACATTCCTCATATATATGTTTGTATGTATGTTTGCTCCACGCAACCTACTCCCCTACTGCTTCCTCTACCACTTGCTATGGCTTTGAAGTTTGCACCAAAATTCCACCCTCAATCTCCTTTCCCTCCCTCTCTCTACACATATAAATAAATAAATAAATAAATAAATAAATAAATATATATATATATATATATATATATATATATATATATATATATATATATAATTTCCCAAGTCTAGCTCTCAACTGACTCAATCTACAAATAGGCCACCACCAAAGTTAACCTTCCACATTTTCTAAACACAATTCAGAAAACCCCTTTCCTTCTCTAAATATCTCTCTCTCTAACCACCCCCCTTCCCCCTTCCTTTTCTAAATATCTCTCTTTTCTCTCAAACTGACTCGACAATATATAATTTCTGTGTAGAGAGGGAGTGATGAGTGATAATGATAATAGAGGTGGCCTTGTGGTGCCTGTAAGTTTCTTAGGGGAAAGTGTGTGAAAGGGGTTTGTGGTGTCCAAGGGAAAATTCAGGAATTGCTAATGGGGTTAATATTAAACAAAGGAGAATTGGGGATCGAAAGATTAAAGAGTTAAAAAATTTTAGAGGAAATTGGATTAGACTTTAAAGGAAGAGAATGAGTGAGCTCTCTGATTTATGCAAGATTAGGAATTTAAGAGTTCTTTGTGCTTTGGCTTAGTGATTGTTTAATACTTGCTAGGCTTGAACTTATTTGGTTGGGCCTTTGTTTTAAAACTGTGAGTTAGATATTGGGCTTGTTTGGATGGGTTAAAATTAAGAGGCTAATACTACTATTAATTTTTTTCTTTTTTAAAACCTTGGGCTAAATATACCTATACTAAAAAAAAAAAAAAATTTTGGGCTCAAGCCCCCCCCTGGATCCGCCACTGGTGGTGCCGATAAGTTCTTTGGTAACATTTACTTGTTGCAAAATTTAGTAAAAAAAATGTTATAAATTTTTAAAAATCTAATAACTAATTTAAAAGGATTATTTTTAGTTATTGCTTTTCAGCATTGTACAAAATAAAACAATTTTACCAATCACATTTTTTTTCACAATTCACTGTTATATTACTTGACAAAAAAAAAATCAAAAATAAAAAAGAAAATGCGAACCAAACATACCTAAGTAAATTTGCTCTAAATTTGATTAATGTGGTCTTGATAACTGAATTTTTTAATTTTTTTTTTCCCTTTTAAATATGATCTTTGAA